CAAAACTTCTTAACGGAGAGGAATAAGGGAAAATGCTTGCCGGATTCTGAATCGGTGTATTTTTTAATGATTTTTCACCGTCTTAGAATTTCAATTTTTTTCCTTTGAAAAAATGAGATTTGCATTGTTTTCCAATTAGACAAATGAGTAAACATGAATAGCCCGAAATCTAACGGTGAGATTTTGTTTTAAAAAATCATGGATATCAAGGCTAAATATAGCTATACAATAAACATAAAAAAGCAATGCTTGGACTCTTCATATTCACACAAAAAATTAATTAGTAAATGAGGTTTGATATTTGTGAGAATAAGTTGTACGAGTCGCAATGCTCTACAAACACCAGACTACAGGGTGGATTAGGATCAATGACACACATAAAAATTGATTTAAAAACATTTCATGATAATTATCTCAAACAAAAGCAGTTAGCGAAGGATACATTTCATTACACTCAATAAATAGTTATCACTTTTGACTATATATACATATCTCATGGGAATGTATTTCCATCTGCTCAAGATATCATATTTTAGCTTCGAAAATCACAATCGTTGGATAATACATTTGTCTCAGAATGATAGGCCACCCTGTAGCAATGTAGCTTTCACTTGAAGTGTACCCTTGAGAATAATGAACTTACTTTCAAATTGGTCTTGCTTTTGTGGTTATGTGGCATTTTAGCAAATCTGCCACGCTCATTCTTTCCAGAACCATCTTGTTCACATGTAACACTAGGCTATACGCGCATGTATAGACAGATGACATAGATATACATATAAATTATATATTGCACCTGTATTTACTTACATGGGAATATTCCCTTTGGAAAAATGCAAATGCATGAACATATATTTTCATCTTATATATGACTTCAAGCTAACATATTATTTCATATTTATATTTTCATAGTTAGTCTAACATAAATAATAGATCCATGAGAACAATATTCTTTGTTTTCTTAAAAATTGATGGGTTTACTGTGAATTCAATAAATTACAATTTGCAAGGGGTAAGTATACTGTATGACCTTAGTTGCAAAGTACTGTTTATATATGCAGCTCAATAGCATAAAATAAGTTGAATGAAGCATATGGTGGGGATTAGTCGTGTGACACACAAACTGACCAATACATGAGGGTATTAGCTACTTTTCACAGAAACCAAAGGAGGACAGTGATTTTATTTCAACTGGGAGCTTACCTCCACACGACTGATCATGTGACCATGGTGTTGGGTCCCTTTAATCATCATATCATATCCCTAGATCTAGATGCATATGACCTCCCGATTATGATATCTTGGATTTTTCCGATATCTGTAACTATAGTCCCAACGTTAACAGGTAATATAAGGTAATTGAGCGGCAATTTTTAATGAAACTAGGTCAGTTTATCATTTCTTCTATTTATCTAACTATAACAGACCAAAAATTGCATTAAAATCGGTCCAAAGTAATTTCTTATATGGCCTCTTGCCTGATCTTGGCTGAACTTTGGGGAAATAAATTTTTATCTAGGTCAAGAATTTTTTTCTCAAAAATGGTCAACAAATATTCAATATTTGAAGCCGAAAGGTGTAATTATTGATGAAATTATTGAGCCAATGTTTAAAAGAGAAATTATTTTCCAGTTTTTGGTATTTTGGTCTGAAAAAGCGCTCAAATCGATGTGCATTTCTTACTTTTTCAAAGAAATCTATAAAATTCCATTGCGGTTCTGTCTTTACATCGTATTTTCAACCACGGCCATCATTTTTAAGCGAGTTTCCTTGACATATCAAAAGGATGTTTTTCTCATACTTAGAGAAGTAAATGTGACTGTCATTCATCCTTTATTAAGCATTAAAAAATAATTTGCTGCATGGGTGACAAAATGCTTCTAGTTTCATGCCTATTGTAGTCTCGCATCATGCGATTGTAATTTTATGCGATCTGTCTGCATGGGGTGGGTATTTGAGTTATCAAAGATAATGTTTTTCCGAAAAATGGCGGCCATTTTTAAATTCAGCTGCCATCTTGAAAATTCTTACTCTAACAGCTACTAGTACCTATCCCTAAGTAACATGATACTATCCAATAATACTTCACTTTAAGGATTGGGCAAGAGATTTTTGGGGGTGAAGGAACACCGGATAACCATCCACACATGACAGAGGTTTCAAGGGTGGGGGAGGGAAAAGATTTCCAAACTGACCTTACCCTTCATTCAAGACTGTGTCACACATTGCAAAATCACTCAATAGACTGATTAGCTCATTCACCTGAATAGGTATAGATGTCACTTAGGATATGTTCGTAAGTATCGGCATATAAAATAACCAAATCCGTTCACCGGTATTTGAGTTTTCAGATTACATTTTCTTTACGAAAAATGGCCATTTTGAAATACAGCCACCATCTTAAAAATTATTCATAAAACAGAGCTACTGTGTCCCTTGGCATCAGCATATAAAATTTGAACCAAATCCATTCGCTGGTATTTGAGTTATCAAAAAATACGTTTTTTGTGAAAAATTGAGGTAATTTTGAAATTCAGCCGTCATCTTGCAAATTCTTTTCCCAACAGAGCTACTGTGTCCCTAGGCATAAGCATATACAATAGAGCCGAATCTGCTCACCGGTATTTGGGTTTTCAGATTATATTTTCTTTACGAAAAATGGCCATTTTGAAATTCAGCCACCATCTTAAGTTATTCCTAAAACAGAGCTATTGTGTCCCTTGGCATCAGCATATAAAATTTGAACCAAATCCATTCCTGGTATTTGAGTTATCAAAAAATACGTTTTTTTGTGAAAAATTGAGGTAATTTTGAAATTCAGCCGTCATCTTGCAAATTCTTTTTCCAACAGAGATACTGTGTCCTTAGGCATAAGCATATACAATTGAGCCGAATCCGCTCACTTATATTTGAGTTATCAAGTATTATATTTTTATGAAAAATGGCGGCCATCTTGAATTAAGCGGCCATATTGAAGATTCCTTCTCAAGCAGATAAGAGGCACTTCACCCACAAGGTATAAGTCTATAAAATTTGAATCAAATCCGTCAATCGGTACTTGAGTTATCGTCCGGACAAATGGACGGATGGACGGCTTCTCTTATATCCCTACGAGCTTCGTTCGGTGGGATAATGAAAACAAAAACAAATCATTTATCATCTAACAGGTTTATAAAATCTATTTCATTTGTAATTAAAAACTGTTTTCATACATAAAATACAACTTGAACATAAGAACAATATCATGGGTATTCTAGAACGCTCATGACAATGTGAACAACAATACAAACATTTAATAAACTAAAACAATAACACATTTTTATACAGAACAGCCTTCTACCGGGGTCCATTTCTCAACTTCGTAAAGTACGAGTTTCAAATTGTATTTCTCCAAACACCATATCATAGGGGTCATATCTTATTGGTCGTCAAGGAGATATTGCGTCATTTTGCACCATTCAAAGATTTGAGTGAGACACTTGGGGTGAGAATAAATTTAGGCAATTTTGTACGAGGAGTAGGATTTTGTCAGGGAACTTCTTCGCGGGGTGGGAATTTTGAATTGCATATGTCCAATCGAGAGTCAGGAATTTTCATTGTGTCTGAACGAAGTAATTGTATAATGTTAGTCGTCTTTTATCCGGGCTTTTATCCTATTATCTTTTAATTAACACTGAACTATCAAACAGCATATAATGTAAATTATATTCTAGTACCCAAGCTTATCAGACTACTAGTACCATGCTAAAAATATTCAGATTTTAAACCAATATTTTAGTGATAAAGCCAGTCATACTTATTAAAAAAGTAGTGTGCAGTCAAAATGGTCAGTCATTATTTCCATATTAAAAGAGTACCATAAGTGTATTTTCAACAAAAGTTTCTATGGTAAAGTTGCGGAAATTCGACAAAATCGATGATTTTTTGAGAAATGCAAAATCTTCGTAAGTTTGAGAAAGAACAATTGACTTTAACGGATCTGTTATTTTGAGGAGTTTGGAGAAATAGATCCCTGGTCCATATAAATGCGCTCTGAATAAAATAACATTGCAACTGATGTAACATTTCAATTCATTTTGAGCCACTGTCTAAAATCTTTATTAGCAAGAGTGCGGAGGGCACAATCATTTTACTTTATTTAAAGTCCAGGACAGATTCGTATAAGGTATTTTTGCCCCAAAGTAATTAAGTTTGAGCTGGTTTAAGGGATAAAAACTCCAGCTTCATTAATGTTCTTATTCATAGCATTTGATTTTTGCACTAACATCAATTTATCAGTCTATTCCCTCAATTATTGAAAATTACTGAAATATTGATGAGACAATTTAGATTCTGATAGCATGGATTAGAGGCACATGTTCACAAATTCACGATTTCCAACAATGAAAATTCTGCCATTAAATTAAACCGGCATGAACAAAATCTTATCACGATTCTTATATCAGGAGACATCCCTGAAAAGTTCATATTTCAAATTTAATTAATATATATATATAAACCAGGTTGTCTAGAAATGGGCAGACAAGGAAAGTGAAATGCTGCTACTGCCTGCCTAGCTGACTAAAATCATACCTTTATACACACTGGTACTCACCTGTTACCCTGACGATACGTCAGTGTAACATGGCGGATCAACTTCCGGGACCAAGTTTCGGTACGATATTTTAATTTTTCGATTTACACCTACTTATAAGTCACGCTGTGGATAATAATTTGGCTCAAAGTTAAGGAAGATAGTCTAGTTTGAGAATGTATCAATGTTTTTAGGTCTGGTATGTTAACAAAGACGCAATTCACATATTTAGTCTCTCGCTTTTGTTACACTGACGAACGACCAATATTGGCAATATTCATACCGATCGTCAGTGTAACAAAAGCGAGGAACTAAATATGTGAATTGCGTCTACGTTATAATACCAAACCTAAGACCACCAGCACATTCTCAAACTAGATTATCTTCATTAACTTCGAGCCAAATTATTATCCAATACGTGACTTATAAGTAGGTGTAAATCGAGAAATAAAAATATCTTACCGAAACCGAGTCCCGGATGTAGTTCCGCCATGTTACACTGACGTATTGTCAGGGTAACTAGGTGAGTACCAGTGATACAGGCATGATAAGCACCGTCACATTGCAAAATGTTCATTAATCAGGGCTTGAATCCACAGGTTTTACTGTAATTAAATCTGCTTCTTCATTCAGTTAATTGCATTATAATCATTCCACTCCATCAATCAAGCGTTGATTCTTAATTAGAATGAATTCCTGAGGCCTTTCAACAGTGTATCCTGTGTTTAGTATTATCTCCAACTACAGGCTGTGTGTGTAACTATGCGCATCTAATTATTGTCCAATCATGTCCTTAGGCTGCAAGAAAACAAGAACATTCACACCATCTAATCATCATATCTGATAACAAACAGTATTACCTGTACATAAAATTGAACTTTACCATAGGTAAAAGTAAAATTGGCAGACATATATATAGCACAAATGTATATTGTTTTTCATGCTGATTATATAAATCTTGATCTAAATTGAGAAGAAAGATATTTGATGTGGCCATTTATACAACAAAAAGGAACAATACAAAATGAAGAGCTGCTCTCCTGTAATGGCGGTGACAGGATTTATTAAAAATCTTCCGAAATGGCTGCCAGAAACAAGGTGGCTACTCAAAAGTATCAGCTGTTTAACTACGAATTTGAAGAAAGTCCAATGAGTCATTTTTTGGAATCATGATGATGAAAAAATCCCAGAGGTAGTAGTGTGATAAAAAGCTAGGATACCTCTGAAGATATGCATTGACGTCCTCATAGCCATGAAGTCTGGCAACGTGGATAAGAATTCCAGTGCTGCAGCAGCCTGCTTTTCTTCGACAGAAACTACAATTGCAAATACCTCGACATGGGGGACACTGCCAATCCTGAAAACATACACATCACTTGAGAGACAATCCCTTTGAGACTCGATGCATAACATTGAGTTGTTCTCATATTAATTTACATAAAGGATCTGCTTTGATGTGACCGATTCAGGTAACATTCCTTTATCAATTCCTGGGAGATTAATGAGCCAATCGTATTTGATATTTCGTGAGATTTATTGGTTGAAAGCAGTTCAGTAATCATGAGTTTCACTATAACTATGTAGACTGAAACTTACTGGGTCCTTGAGAGCAGTTTTTGCATCCTCTCCATATCTATTCCTCAGACAAGGTCCGCAGAAATGACCACGTACTCCTGAGCAATCCTCAGACCTACAGATAGTTTTCTGGTCATCTGTCTTTTGCCTACACTGGTGACATGTAGTGCCCTAAAATACAGAAGACACTTTTGAGAATTCATATGTGGATTGTGAAGATTAGAGGAGATGACAAATACAATAGAGAAATGTTGTAGTTTGAGCTGTAATTTGAAGGCGAACTCCCATGCAGTGTCACGGTATAGACACTGCGGCGGGCATATGAAGAAAATCCCCCAAATTTCATCATATATGTGGTAATTTTCACACAACTTAAAAAATATGTATTCATGAATGTTCCCCAAACATTATTTTGTCAAAATATTTCAAAATTATTGAAATATGAGAAGAAATCACCGCGGAAGGAAATCTGAGTAAAAGTTGTGTTGATAATAGTTTACCGCACATGTTGTTTATTAGTTAATACGCGCAATTCAACCAATGAAATTGTCTAAATTTTAGAATCACGCGACCTGAGAATGGGACTAGAACCAATCACGTCAGTTGTTTATTACGAAGTTACATGCTTACGTTGAGATACCTGCCCGCCGCAGTGATATATCACTGCACGGGAGTTCGATTTGAAGGTGGTTCATGAATCTATATTGAATTTAAATAAAAAATTTAAAACATGCTGTTAATTTAAAAAAATTGTGTTTTTGTTTTGTTGTTTGAAAATGTTCATGAAAATAACTGAAACTTAATTCCAGCCATTCAGCATCTCTTAAGCTTAGAGTATCCATCTAGTAGTAAACAAATACAAGAACACAAATGTGTACAAAATGTCCCCACCAAGTGGTGATCCCGTGAAATGGTTATCCTGAAAATGAGTAGACAAGACTTTACCAACACAATTTGAGGACGGAAAATCCAAAGTGGCCACCTTAAAATTTACCCAGAATGCCAAAAATTTAGTCAGTTCTAGATTTTCATACTAAGAACCACCCCTGAAAATTTGAAATTGATCCGTCACACAGTTAACCAGAAAACATGTAAACAAGACTTTACAGACAAGATTTCAGGATGGAAAATCCAAAATGGCTGCCTTGACATTTACCCAGAATGTCAAAAAACTAATCTGTTTGTAGATTTTCATACTAAGAATCATCCCTGAAAATATGAAATTGATCTACCAAACGGTTCACCTGAAAACGGGTAGACAAGACTTTACAGACAAGATTTTAGGACAGAAAATCCAAAATGGCTGCCTTAACATTTACGCAGAATGCAAAAAAAGTAATCAGATGTAGATTTTCATACAAAGAATCATCCCTGAAAATTTGAAATTGATCTATCAAACCGTTCTCCTAAAAACGCGTAGACAAGACTTTACAGGCAAGATTTTAAGACGGAAAATCCAAAATGGCTGCCTTGACATTTACCCAGAATGCAAAAAAACTAATCAGTTCTAGATTTTCATACTAAGAATCATTCCTGAAAATTTGAAATTGATCTACGAAACGGTTCACCTGAAAACGAGTAGACAAGACTTTACAGACAAGATTTTAGGACGGAAAATCCAAAATGGCTGCCTTGACATTTACCCAGAATGCCAAAAAACTAATGAGATCTAGATTTTTATACTAAGAATCATCCCTGAAAATTTGAAATTGATCCACCAAACGGTTCACCTGAAAACGCGCAGACAAGACTTCACAGACAAGATTTTAGGACCGAAAAATCCAAAATGGCCGACAATAAAAAAGTCCTTATGAGTTTTTGCTGATTTCTTTTTACAAAATTATCACATATAACTACTGTTAACAATAAAGTAGGCTTTTACAGCAAAGTACATCTGAAATTATTTATAAAGCTACTAAATAGTTAAAGTATGAAAACTCAAAAACACCATTCAATATGATACAAAGTATTATCGCGCGCTAACTTTTCTTAAGACATTCAAAATGGCTGACATGACTGAGCTAGCAGGTCCAAAACCTAATCAGATCTAGAATGAAGTGAGTTGAACAAGATGTTAAAGTTTTAAAAGCAACTGTGAAGCAGTTTTTCTTAAAGTTTGCAGACAAGGATTTTAGCATTTGACTTCAAAATGGCCGACAGGAAGTAGGTATCGAGTTAATTTTTTTTCATCCACATCTGTATGCACTCATAAGTTATCCCTGAAAATTTGAAGGTGATATCTGTAGCGGTTTTGGAGAAAACTGCCGGACGTACGGACAGACAGACGGACGCGCCTAGGCCGACAATATGGCCCCACACTATGTGGTGGGGACATAATAAAATCAGTCCAGCTAATACTTTTTGAAGGATATTCATATCATCATTCCTACATCAATAAATAATGTATCTGCTACATCACATTTTACACATTGGCATTTTTCAATGTAACCATTCCCAGATATGAAACAGGACTGACCATCACCATATAATTAGCTGATGCAGATTCACTTACATTATATGAGTCATAGCGTTTTTCCTTAACATGATTAGCAACCATATCCAGGTCTTCCTGTGTTATTTCATCCACTGATTTAGCCTCTTGTGGTGGGGAGGTTCTTGCTCTTTTACGACTTGGAGATTTTATCTCTGGTGGAAATCTTGGAGCCTCATCCTTGATAATGAATAATAACAGTACAAAGAACAAATACAACTCCATATCAAATCCAACAATTGCCACCAACAAAACTTATTGTTTTGCATCAGCATTTCATGTTAGAAACAACAATGTAGTCAGTTCTAAAGCAATTTTGCCAATAACTAATTCAATAATAAAAAATATTCAAATTTGTGCAGATTTGAGCAGGCTTTTTGAATAAATGGCCTACTTTAAAAACTTCTCAGATGTCTTCTCTATATCCTGACTGTAACTTCATCTGGTGGAATATCAGATATAAATGAAGAAGAAGACATTCTAGAAATGACAATGTTCTTGCCAAAATATAGGGGCTTCCAAGGTCTGCCTATATCAACAGAACTCGGGCGTATATGTTACATCATATTTACAAAATTTACAAATCATCTACATTTCATACAAATGCATACCTCGTCCTCATATACTCCACATGTTCCATCATCTAGCTCTCTAAGTGGGTGAGGGCTCCTTCCAAAGAAACCACCAAACTTCACGACAAGTCTCTGAAATGACAGTGACATATGATAGCATATAACTAATCATTGAGAATGTGTACAAAAATGCAGAACATACGGTCATTCTTAATTTCATGACCAGTTGCTAAAATCTTCAATTGCCATGTTCATTGCTTTTGCGTGGCTTTTATTTTGAAAATTAATTACATGTCATTTTAAATTGATATGAGATGAAAGTAATAATACATTATACATGTATATCGATATAACAACATAAATACATTTTTGCAGACATATCAATGCTTATCTTCCATGTCTTCGATTTTTGATGGTAGGAAGTAAAATAAACAAAATAAGCATCCTAGTAAATGATATCTCATTTGAGAGGATTACCCACAAGTTGGATACTCAAATACAATATGAATTGAGAGACAAAGATGATAACTGATGTGCTTTTCAATAGTCTCTTGGACAACCACTTGTGAGTGATTTTACTCTGTAAACTCGCTAGGCTTTTATAACCTGCCAAAGCGCAATTCTCTCTCATGTTAAAACCTGACTACACCATTCTCTATCCTGTTCAATGAATTAAACACCAGGTTCTGTTTTTGAATTTTCTTACTTCAGTTATCAAGCTACAATCCTTCAAAACATAAAACATTTACTCTACCACACAGTTTTATTTTTCCAAAATGTAATCTGAAAATTCAGCAATTTTTAGATAATTGTAGAATATTTTTAGAAATTGCAAGAATGGCGAATTGTTTCCTCCAAGTTATAAACATTATCTGGTGAGAACACTGCGTAGATTATTTGAGAAATAATACCCATAGACTAAATGTGATTTCCAAGGGGCTGTCAGACATGCAAACATGCCAAAAGGGGAGACCAAAAACACAGTGTATAAAAAATGTTAAGGATAAACTAAAACTTACATCTGGGCTATTTACGGGAGTTGATGCACCAGAATTATTGCTCGAACCTGTTGAGTTGAGCCTTGATCTGGACCTTGTTGTAATTGGGTTTCGTAGCACCACCTGACGTGATGAGCTACGTCGCACGTACGATTCATCTGCCTCTGCATCATCACTTCTTTGTCTTTTTACACGTGGTGCCCTCTATCAATTCAAGCACAAAAAATGCATTGCAATATTAATAATCTATAAGTCATTGGCAAAATGTTCAATCGTACAGGAATTCAATAAGAGAGCTGTTTCAAAAGACATATTACATGAAACATGATTTTGAATATTTCTTTACCTTTTGAGTCTTCTTTGCCAGAGTGGAGAACTGTGGATGTGCTTTCAAATCCTTCATCAATTTAGCCAACTATAAACAGAAAGAGTATTATAAAAAAACATCTGAACTTTTTAGCCATTGATAGGCTTTGGATACTGATGATTTTTTGCAACTACATGTACTTCTTTATATTAGTCTGTGTCTATCCTACATATTATTTGGGCAAACAATGACCAAGGTCGTAATAGGATTTGCTTCTCTCATAATCCATGCAGGGTTTATTATTACTGTGAGGGAAAAAAGATAGTTCAACATATCTGATGTTCATCTTCTTAAATAGTAGACATTCTTACTTTGTTGAAATAAAATACTAAATTAGTAAATATCTATAAATTACTTAGATAACACTGAGGCGCAGAAAATTTGATCAAAGAGCCATGGTCTGCCAAATTGTCATTAGACATTGTAATATGCTTTAAGTATTCACATATGAAATATCAACAAAATTGCAACTACTTGTACGTTTCCAGTCATATCAGAGCTTTGTTCTATGAAATAGACATTCAGCAGATGCTGGGCTTAGAGGTCTAAGTTCAGTAAAGTTCCGATAAAGGTCCATGTGCAGTATGGCAAGTGATTTTAGATGGTCATATCTTTCACCATGAGTACTTTCTGGGCACAAATACAGCGGTTTTTATTTCAAATAAAGTCCCCATGATGATGAAAATATCAATCAAACTATTCGAAAAATTATAAATAGGGACCCACGTCAACAATTTTTTCAAAATGTTGAACTTATTTGCTCAAAAGAGGGTCTTCTTTTTCTGATTTTTATTGCATGAAAACATTATTCAACAAGGGGTCTAAGACATTATTCAACAAGGGGTCTAAGACATCTTCAAAAGTAGAATGGTATTGAAAGTCTAGTTCAATGATCAAAATCATGCTGAAAACAATGGACAGCATGAGTTTTCCCCAGGAAAATAACATGGGAAATGTGTTTTTTAATTTGTCGCAATTCAATACCCATCCTTTTGATACAATTAAATTGAGAAAACAAGATCCTCTTTTTAGAAAATAAGCCTTACATTTTTAAAAAAGTGACAAGGTGAGAGTTGGATCGATACTTTACTATCATGGGGACTTCATTTTGAAGAAAACATATTGTTTTATCAAAAAACACTGTGTATTTATACCCAGAAAATACTGATAGTGAAAGATATGACTGTCTAAAATCACTTGCCATACTGCACATGGACCTTTGTTATTTTAGACATTAGTTCATGTTTATATGGTTTAAAGAGGTTATTTCCAGCATACTGACATAAATCAGTATGCTGATAGTATGTGTGATTGGGAATGCAATAATCATTTGCATGATGTAGTTTATTTTCTTACCATAGCTTCATTGTCAGCAATATTCTTAGCTCGAAGCTGTTCCAGCTCCCCTATTACTTGTTTCTAAAAATAAATTAGGCTTTGGTTATACATTATTTTAGAGCATTTCTGAGGAACCTACATGTAGTTGCCAGTAGGTAGTCACCAGTTTCACCACCAGGTGGGCAATTCTTATGTACTCCACTAAAATACACACATTCTAGCATTTTCAAATTGGTCTAAAATTCTTCCATCCATTTTTGGATTATTCAGAAATTACAGACAATGGTGACTGGTCAATGTAAATAATGTTTCTATTTGATTGGTGAATGATCTGAAGCTTCCGATCGAGGCAGCAATTTATTTGTTGTTAGAGTCCATTTCACTGTTTAATTGCGTCAGTAAAACCTAAAAATTAAGAAATCAAAATATCATTATGCAATAATATATGGAAAAATATATTTCTATTGTACATTAATGACATTTGTATATCTTGGATTGCTTCTAGATTGACTTATAAAGTGTGTGGCCTCTTATATTTGGATGCTTCTCTGCCATGTTATTTTCAAGAAGATTAACATGGCTGAAATTCTTCAAATTACAAGAGGGCACAGGCTTATTGCACAAAAAACTAAAATATCTGAAATACACAAATGCCATTCATGTACAATATGAATATACTTTTCCATATATTTTTGCACAGTGGTCTCCCTTCTTATTTTCGGGGTTCTACTGACGCAATAAACAGTGAAATGGACTCTACCTTATTTTGCTCCTTCAACAGTCTGTTGTAGTAAATCAATGTTCTAAATATTAGACAACATAATTATTAACTTTTGAATTTAGATTCCAGCCATTTTAGGTCTCGCGAGATCTTGTGACTTTCGAAAGTAAAAATTTGCTACAAAATAATTCGTGTTAGCTAAATATGAATAGTCACGTGATTTTTCAGCGGTAATACCCATGCGCATAAAAAGTACAATGCGCATGTGCACGTATGCGCAAAAAGTTAAAAAATGGTGCGAGCCAGATCTGGAATTTCTCCACTCTGCAATTACACAACAAGTAGGACTTATTGTCACCATGCGTCATCTGCCCTGTCAACCCTCACGCATGAGGCGTGATTGTCACGCATTTGCTGGAAAAATAGAAATCACGCATATTTAGCGTGTATGATCAAATATCACGTATTCCATTTGGTCTTTGCACGCGATTGCCGTTTATGTCACGCATTTGGTACAAAATATGTGTATATATCCCGCACTTGTTTCAAAAAGATTTACTTGGACCCAATTTTTGGTTTTAGGGCCCAAAATTTTTTCTCAAAATTTGACACCTCCCCCTTGTTAATTTCTGTATCCGACACTGCCCTGTGTGTTGGAATCGAATAGCATCTTATAAATTTAATTATTTTGAATTCCCGCTAAAATATTTCCCGCCAAACGCCATTTTTAAAAGGGCAGAGACTAAAGAGGATCTTAGAATCGTCTGTTTCCGAGTGGAATTATAAAGAATATTCTTTCCATGTAGACTTGGACAAATCGGGTATAAATCTATGTTGGCTATAAAGGTCCGATCATACAACGATTGTCCATAATAAGGCAGTAGACGAGGTTTATGAAGTTTCGAAAACCTGAAAACTCTGGGTTGCAGTTCAAAACGTTTGATTGCTCTCCTTTGTTCAAACCATTAGACGTAACGTAGAATGCAAATCAAAGCTTCAATATTAATGAAGGGTCATTTTACTCACCTGTATTGATTTAGCCATGCTTTCCACCACAGGAGCTTTTCGACAAAATCTAACTGAATATCACCACGCGAAGTTGATTCTTCTTTCTCGTTTTTAGGTCACGCATGCGCGTTTGTCATTTCCTGACCCTGGCAATTTTTACAAATGGATAGAAAAAGGATGTTTAAATAATTTTACCATCGTAATTTTACCATGGGGTAAATGTTCATTACAAAGAGCCTATCAATGTGGAAATTATCGGAGATCTTTCCTTCATATCGTATCATTCTTTAGGCTGTTTCTTAATAACACTAATACATTTTGCCCGGGTCTGTGTGTCATCAAGACTGGGAGAGGGGAGACATCTATGAATGGAAAGAAAAATTCTAATCCACAGTGAAAATATTGATTTGTTTTAATTTTTCGATCATCATAATTATTTTTCGATTTTCACACCTATTCCAAACTATCTTCTACTGTTGATGGCAACCACTGTTCTAAGGATTTCAGCAATCTTGAGCATAGCTACATTTAAAAGCCTAAAATATAATAAATATAATATAATATAACTAATATAATATAATATATCAATTCATTCATATCGCTGGAAGAACATGGATTGATCATGAGGCTTCTAATAACCAAGTTAATTATGATACATGTATGTATTGTCGTTAAATAAAATATAGGAGGTTTTATCTGAGGTTTTATATAATAAGCTTCGAGGCTTTTCTGCCCAGGATCATTTTAGTTTCCTCTATTAACCTTCCTCTTGACCGGCCTTATTGTCCAATTACCTCTATGTATAGCGGTCCATAGACTACAGGGCGTATAAAAACGAAACAAAAACGATAAATCGTAAAACCGCAAACTATATGATAACTGCATAATAATCTATGTTTTTGTATAGTGGGGCAAAATCAGTTTTGGAATACCCTGCGTGCAGAGTCTAGTTAAACTACAGAAGACGAAGCTCTGTTTTAAGAAGTGAAGTCAAACGAATGCAAAGTGTAGTTTTGGAAGATTCAGCAAATGGGACTGGTGTTGAACATAAAGATGCGCGACAGTGATGACTGCAATGATTTCGTAGTTCAGTGTTCAATGAAGGTTCATTTCCTCTTTTCAAAGATATGCAATTACACGGGGTCATGGCTGGCTAAATGATCATGATTCCTGTTGCACAATGGGTCAAAACTCAAAATCAGCCAGGGACCAAGTTTTAGACTATGGAGACTTTAAGCTAGCGATATTTTTTCACAACGTAAACGTGAACGCAATCAACGGTAACATGTATAATTTATTTGCCTCTACATAAAGAGAGTTACATTCATATTTTACATCAAATGATGCATACATACAGAAAATTATACACACAGAATTCAAATATGCCATCAAATAGAGAAAATGTTAGTCTTTCATGATTAAAAATGAAATTAAAAACGAGACTTTAACGAGATTTAGCATGTGATCCTAAAAAATCAGGAAACCACCTTGGGCCTCGTTCTACCACTTCGAACTATCTATGTTGCAATAATTAGTTTTCGCCTAGGTAATTTTCAGAACTCAAATACAAGCCTATCATCATCAAAGGTTTCTTCTAATGACTTTTATATGAGACCTTTCATTTTTGTCAAAACTCTTAATCAACTTAATTGAGTAATATAATACTGCATGCGTGTGTTGAATAAGAACTACGTAGACTACACAGCCATACAGTTGTATAGCTGCAAAAATAAATTGTAAACCTAATACTTGTATATACGCTGATAACGAATGACGCAGTGTTTGTATTAATTAGAGACAAATCTTTTCTCGATATATATCATAAAAGGAAATATTTATATCATAAATCTGTCTGCCATATGATTCTATGAAGCTACGTTAGAACATGCATATTGAAGAAAAGTATTAATGATAAGATAGCGAAGGATAGCAACTAGGATGACCTGTTAATCCGAGAAATTACTGAGCGTTGTACTAACAGTGTCAGGTGCATTTAATGTTATTTTGATATTGTGAGATACAGCAGCTTTCTAGGATGCAGAGGTAAGACAGTAATTGTCATATCCCCAGGATGTTTTAAAAAAACAATCAAGCACATCCGTATCTAAATAGAAAAAGATACCATGCAAAAGTGACGTTAGTAACGATGATATACGATTAACGTTTCTTGGAATTTCTCGCAACTTATGTTGAAGTAACAAGCAGGGACTTCAGTCTTCAGATATCCGTTTGAATTAATTGCAGTATAAGTGCATTCAGCAATATGGCCTCGCCACATCGTAGAAACAGATCTTCTACTGCTGGCTTTTGTCATGTTTGTTCGGCGGGAAATGCTTTAATGAAGGCCGCCTGCTCTCGCCGGTTACGACTCTGTCGTCTGCTAATCGAAGGTGGAAGTTCCATCAACTCTACAAACGAAGTTGGTCAGACGCCTCTGACTGTTGTATGCCTGTCTGATGAAGAGCACCAACACGCTGCGCCAAAAGAAAAGGTAATCGAGTATTTCCTCCAAAAGGGAGCAAATGTCAACAGTCAGGACAATCGCGGACGGACTTGCTTGATATACAGCTGTATGCAGAATCTAAGTTTCGCAATTATCAGACTACTCATCGAAAGTGGCGCGGATCCGCTGATCATTGACGACACGGGAACAAATGCTTTGAACTACGCTGCTCAGCATGGTAATACATTTATCATAGCTGCTCTTACGGAATCTGTACGAGCGACGGGAAGAGATGTAATTTTGATTAAGCCAACACCCTCCGATATACAAGAAAAGCTTTCAGAAAGACGCCAGAGCTACACACAGCGAAGGCACAATTTTCAGAACACGTGTACCACATATCTTGGAATTCCGACTATGTCGCCTATTGCAAGCCCTGGGTGCGAAGCGTTGACGCCAACAGATATAATACCGTCTCTTGATGAAAAACTCCAGGATAAATTTGTTTTTCAATTTGGAAATGGAGATAAAGCAAATACGGGTCAACCAATAGCAGCTATTACAGTATCCGCTGCTCAAAATCAAAAAGAAGAGAAAACCCCCAAATCTACGGACATAATATATACTCCCGTGACTCGACCGAAGTCGCCCAAATCAGCCACAAATGAATACTCGGATACAGAGAAAACAATTGTACGGAGATTCTCTCGGACCCTAGGAAGCATCGATACGGACGACCTTTCACAGCCAAAACTTTTGACTAAAGGCTCATCAATAGAAAGCGATTCCGATTTCATTATTCATCCGGGTTCTATTCGATCACCAGATAGAACGCGCAAAAAGAAAAAAGGGAAAAAATCTAAGAAAAAGTCGGAAGTTGTAGCAATAGACGTTCATGCTTTTGATTTACACAGTCCTGAAGATAAAGCACTGTATTCCAAAGCTGAAACGTCACCCCGAAGGTGTAATACGCGAACTGCATGTTCCGAGGAAGTTGAGTTACCACTAAGGAGGCGGTGTTCATTACCGTTAATATCACTAAGAGCCGCTGGCATTGCAGCTTTGAAATTAGAGGAATCGATGTGTCATCACAGTGCCGATAACTCTGAAGTCGATTTATCAAAGGAACTGGAAAACTCTATCGAGAATATTGATTTAAGAAAAGTAAGAAAAACTTCTGGAAAACAGCTTGTTGATAAGATATCGAAATCAAGAAAGACAACACTGCCTCCCCTAAATCATAACAGGATAATGCCAGGTATCTCGAAGGAGGGTAGCATAGACGAAGATATTACGGAAAATGAGAAAAACTGTATTCTTAAGAAAGCTCTACTTGAGAAGCATCCAAGTAGGAAGTTTTTCCAAAACAAGAGTGTGTCGTTTCAAGCAGGAGATGGGGTAGCTCCAGCATTTATCGACCAGCGAACCGCAATGCCCTCTAAGGGCCTTCCTGGTATGGGAGGGGAGCTGAAGGGAGGGCATACCTTTCGAAGGCGACATTCTGTATTCGCTCATTATAAAACAAATAGCTAATAATGTTTACAGGTTGGTGTATGGTTTAATCATTCCAAAGATGCTAATATTGTTTGCTTCTTGCAGTCATTTATAACCTAGGCTATAAAGCTGTTAAATTAAAAATTACTCCACCTTATAGTTTATACATGACTTCGTTTGATTTAATGAAAGCCCAGTTATGATATCTAAACTGAGTACTTAGAGATTTGGCGCATGTTTTTCTGATTTTACGTCGTTCTCTTCCGGTAAGGGATTGGGAATATTAGGCCCTACCTGATTATAACCTGATTACCAATGGTTCTGGAGGATAGTCCTATTTTATGCAGATCGTGTTCATATTTCAATTAACTGGTATGAAACAATCTGATCTGAGAGAAAGTGTTCCCCGTGAGCCCTGTGTTTCATCAGTCATTATTGTTCTGTACATGGATGTCTCGATCATCCCTCCCTCTTGAACTTGTTTGTGGTTTCACAAACAATTATATGTTGGGGTAGTGTATTCCAGCTTTGTACTTTTCTGTTACCAAAATAATTATTGCGTAAGTTGTCTACTGCGCCTGTGCTCTCAGCTGTGGTGTAGCTTTTTGTTTGGCCTCTTGTTCAGGTGTTGGTAGATATCGTTGCAATATATCGCGAAATGATCACTACAGCTGAATTTATTTTGTATCGAGATTGGACAATACACGATCCATGTAAAAAATCGAACGATATGAATGATGTGACACTCAGAACGACACTCGAACTAAAGCACAATATGCGAAATACGCATCATCATATGCGAAACTCGCATCATCGTATGCGATTTTCAATCTATGTTATACCAACAGTTACTTTTCTTACATAACTTATTTCATTCACAGACGCACTGGTTCTATCAAGTCAGTGTCACACAAATAGCTACACTTGACTCGAATCACTTTGCAAAAATCCAAAGCAAATTAATGTTGAAATGTCACTCTGATTGTGTTATAAGTACAGTAGAACCTGTATATCTGAACACCTGGCTAATCCGAACACCTTCCAATCTGAACACTTTTTTCGGTCCCATTTTTTCCTCCCATTGACTCCCATGTTAAAAAACACTTGAAATGTGAACACCTCTCAATTTGAACAGTGAACAGTCATATTTGAAAAATTAACCTGTCTAATCTGAACACTTTTCATAAAATTTCACATGTTTCATACAAAATTGCTCAAATATTGTTATATCAAAACTTTGGGAAAAAACTTAAATGGTCTTGATTAACCTATAATAGGGCTTGCGAGTATGACTGGATTCATATCATTTGAATTGAATTTTCAAATTTCTGAAATGCTGTAAAGCTATGTGGTCAAATGAACTATAAATATGTACCGAGAATGTGTTCACATTTCTTCAGAATCCGGAATCTCGCGAATGCAAAAACCTCAAAATGTGAACACCTCCTAATCTGAACGCTTTAAGCCGGTCCCAATGGTGTTCGGATTAGACAGGTTTAAGTGTAGTATAGAATACTGAAAGAATTATACACAGATCAAATTTCGAACGAACGTGTCAATTTTACACAGGCATTGAGTTCAAACTCGCATAGTATGGTTCCCGCTCACATAGGCTGTCACAAACAACTTGCACCTCACATAGGGTGCGAGATTTGAAGTCACGTGACATTTACATCCTGATTTCTACAATACGGCGCCCTCCATAGAAAGTCAAAAGTCAAACAAGATTTCAAAAAATCGCAAAAAGAATCTCGAACATCTCTAGAAACCAATTTATGTTACATCAAGGTATGTGATCGTCACATCGGTTTGTGAAAGGAAAAACGTTTGTGCGAGCCTTATCTAGCATTTGTTCGACTTGTCGTGTACTCTGTTCGATGTCATTTTAAAGCGCATAGTGCATACACATACAAGTGTGATTTTACAAACATAGTGTTTGCAAACTCACACGGATTGTGTATACATGTATAGACGCTATTCAATGTAATGTAATTCAATGTAATAGAGATTTCACATAAATATACTTGATGTCCAACTTTGATGCAATTTTGATACCATAAGCTTACAGGTGTGATTTTACCAGCATAGAGTGTGCAAACTCAACAAATCGTGTATGAAATCACACATTGTGTACAATGTACACAAATGCCAGACGCTATTTATTTTGTTAGAGATATCACATAAATAAAAGATGTCCAATTTTAATACAGTTTTAACACCACACTATGTATTGATAGCGGTTTCATTTTTAAATGTGAAAGTGCATATTTGATGTGAGCGAAAATTTGAATTATCTGTTTGTCCCCTGTGCGCAAGGCGTCATCAGTTGAAATCAGTAATTATGTAATGATAAGTGTGAAATGGCAGATAAGGATGCATTTCAAGAGATATATGCAAAAGTGCCGGAAACAACAAGTCGTACTGACATCATTACTTCCGTGCGTATTATCATTCAAGGATGAGCCGTCTTTTCAGTTGATAAATTTTTATCCTTCTCGTGATGATGATTATAGCTTGTTTGACTCACCACATTGAGCAAAGTGATGAATATAAATAAAATAAAGATATTTGGCAACATATTTTATAATAATCCTAAAATTTATTATATAATTTACAATTCTTCGGATTCTGTTGAATCTTACAAATAGACGCAAGTGAGTTATTACGTTAGTGGCAAGTGGTGTCTTTATGTTAGCTATAAGTACCGCTTAATGCAATTGCTTTCAACATACCGGTTTTTCAAAATTCTAAAATAGAACAGAATGTAAAAGGAATAATAAACTCATTTAATTTGATACGTCTAAAATATGAGATTTTTGTGAAATATCTATGCTAGTTATAATTACGTATACATTTCTTATTTCGACTTTAGAGCACCTTTGTGAATTTTAACAATTATAAACAATAGACATGGTGGAATTTGTAGATGAACAAACATAATTTTTAAGAAATCCTCAAATAGTGTCCCGTTTTTTAGTTGAACTCCGTAGAATATGTACATGTATATAGTGATATGATATTTGGAAAAATGAATTGACAAAACTGCGACAATGAGAGAGTCAATAAAAGATACACACATATATGGACGAGAAAATTCTCTAAGATGTTAGTACAAAATTGATGTGATTTAACATTATATATATTATACGGTTGTCACATCACTTTACATCACTAAACGCATGATATACAGTACTTATGATGCAGACAATTTAACATGACAAACGGGTGTATGGTTGCCACATCATATAGACCGTATATCGTGCTGCTGTCCCTATTGATATAATGTTGTATAAATATTATTTGATTTGTATGTGGACATGCCGTCACTTGTTAGTCTTGAATAATCATAGATGTCATGAAGTGATGATGATTGATCGTTATTGATGTCATGTGGTACATGTGATATACCGTATGTGACTGCCACGTATAAACATATGATTAAAAGTTCTGCAATAAATGTGACATGAAATCTGACAAATACAAACAGTATAAAATGAAACTAAACGCCAATTGGACGAATGGCTCATATGCCTGGCAGTTTTTTGCTTAGCCCCGTTTAGAGACAGTACTCAAGGGTATAAAACATTTTTAAAGATCGCCACTTGGAATTATACACAAATTCTTATATACATGCCCTGATATATAAACTCAAAAAGATAGGTAGTAAGATGATTATTGTAAACATCGTTGAGTATTTGTTGATCGATCAGTTTTGTAATTTACATAAATATCATCCTCGTAGAGATTACTGTATGTTGAAATTTCTTCTAAGTGCCAGATCTTCTTTTGCATATGTATGCATTTTATCACTATGCATACACTGACTCCGAGGTATAATTCTCAATACAGTTCCTCTTGTCCGATCTGCGACTATGTCGTTTCCTATCTAAAATGAAAGAGAGAATAGTATTTAACAGACAAGTGTATAATTTTACACACACTCAGTGGCCATAGAATATGGTAAATATAATCCATTCACATCATGTTCGTTACGTGAACTGTGTATGAAATTCTGTAATCGTATCAAGCAAAGGTGAAGAGGATTGCATGAAAAATCGGAGATCCGGCTTTGTCGGAATATGTTATTTTATTTTATTTTTTTAACATATTATTTATTTCCTTCATAATAAAAAAAATACACAAAATATCTACTACCAATCGCCATAGGCATTCTAGGTAGTTTAAATTACAATAGAGGATTAATTACAGTAGTCATAGATGGAATATGTTATTAATCAAGTTGATAAATAAAATAGTTCCATAAAAACGCTTTAGAATAAATGTATGTAAAATGTGATACCTGGGATTTATTTATGCTGATGGGCAAAGTTTGCCGGCCAGGTTGTTAATTGCATCTGCGTAAAGGGCCTCGTCAAAACTAGCTAATTTGATGATATGATCAGCGTCATCAGCTATATCTGCTAACTCATCGTCCTTTACTTCACTTGTGAATCCAATCACAAACACTTCAGCACCATTGCTGCGAAGTTGGTTGGCCGCTGAGGCAAGGTTGGCCTGAAATGACAAAAACAAACGAATTTGAACTTTCAAGCTTGCACAAAATTGTTACAAGAATATGTCACTATGCATGGTCATTAATCATTCCCAAATTCTACTGTATATACTTTTCAAACACAATGATAGAAACCTTGTAAAACAAAATAAAATGAGAAAGAGATACAATCACACTTGATTCATCAAAGGTATCGTATATATGCCTGACGGAATTACAATGGTTTAACACATATGGAATAACAAGGCAGGGCAGGGCTATTCTCATGGACTTATGGAAAAAATTAATGCTTGCTCAAAGATCTCATTCCAGGACTCCGGGCCACGACATACATGTAGTTTGTTTTACATGATTTTGAGTAACAGTAAGTTTTTGTTACTCAAAATCATGTAAAACAAACTACTGTATATAATTTATGATGCAAATAAAAATATTTAACCTCAAAACCTTACTCTGTCATCTTTAGCAAATCCGTCCGTGAGTAGGATAGCTTTGTTGGCGCGACTGTTGAGGTCTCCCTGGCTACTAGTGAACATGTTCCCGAACTCTCTGACTGCGTTAGTAAGAAATGTGGAGCCACCGCTGTAACTGGTTTGCATGATCTTTGATCTTACAGTAGACAGACTTGTACCCTCATTGAGGGAGAGCTCACGCTAAAGAAATAAATAATAATGCTATTCTTACATGGGATCATCATGATAAGATGATAAACCATACCATCTCATTTCTTCTCAGCCCTGAGATGTTTCAGGTGAAACAGAAAGGTGCTATAAGTATCAGAATGATATGGGATGGTGATTAAGTTGCATTTACATATTATATGACAATTTATGCGAATGGGCTCTTCCGAAGATTTAATTAAGTTTTCTTTTTATATTTTGGTTTGACGATACAATGTACAGCAGTAGAAAAACTACAAACTTTTCAATTTATGTCGCGTGTAAAGCCCGGTATACACCAATGAGGCAAAATCCCACTTGCCCCATCGAGTCCCATCTTGCCCCATCGAATCCCAATTTGCCCCATCGAATCCCACGAAGTCCCATGAGACCTTGATGACTTTGCCCCATCGTGCCCCATGGAGTCCCATCAAGCCCCATGGAGTCCCATCAAATCCCACCGTGCCCCATTGGTGTATGTCGGGCTTCACACAACACGTCATATGATCGAAAATCCCACGATGCCCCATGGAAAGAATGAACATGTTCATTCTCGATGGGACTCCATGGGACTTCGTGGGATTTTGCCCCATCGAGTCCCACCGAGTCCCACGTGGGACTTCATGGGACCTCATGGGACCTCGTGGGACTCGATGGGGCAAGAGGGGGCAAAATCCTACGGAGTCCCATGGAGTCCCACGGACTAAAAGTTGATTTTACAAGTTACAAGGCCTTTACACTCAGAGCCATTTTAACACAAACGTGCTTACTCGCATATCCCCAGAAAAGCTGAACGCCCCAAGGTGGGTCTGGTCATATGGGAAAATCTCAGCAACCTGACGAGCGAAGTTGAGTTCCTTAATGAAGTCTGCTCCCAAGCTGCCAGACCTATCGATTCCAATCACCACGTCAAATGCTACGTTGCAGCCTAAAAGCAGAGAATCAAATATATATTCATATAAAATATTAAAACACTTGTACAATTTAACATATTATATATTTTATTTTACTGCATTACGTATTTTATGTCTATTAATCTTTATATACTACCGAATTGGAATTTTTCCATTCTAACACTGTGTTAACCCTAACTTTAACTTACTTCTCTCACAAACGGCGCCTCCAAATCCACTGGGGCAGTTACATTCAAAACCAACACTTAGGTCAATGCACTGGCCTCCGTTCTGACATGGTGTACCAACACAGCTATTTTCACCTGCAAACAAAGAAGACAAGCATTAAAAACAGTACAAAACTGAATGACATTGAGATGTTAAGTTGAGAAATTAAACTCACTTTCAGAAGGAACTTTCTCATTATGTGAGAACATTTTGTATTAGTACTGCACTATTTCAGATAAATTCCCTTAAATGATACAATATACAATGTACAGGGTATCATATAGTATATCAGATCACAATGTATGACATAACAATGTTTCAGAGTATAATGTATCAGAGTACAATATATCAGATTACAATGTATCACATGGCAATGTTTCAGAGTGCAATGTATCAGAGTACAATATACCATATGACAATGTATCTGAGTACAATGCATCAGATTTCAATGTATCACATGGCAATGTTTCAGAGTGCAATGTATCAGTGTACAATATATCATATGACAATGTATCTGAGTACAATACATCAGATTACAATGTATCACATGGCAATGTTTCAGAGTGCAATTTATCAGTGTACAATATATCATATGACAATGTATCTGAGTACAATACATCAGATTACAATATATCACATGGTAATGTTTCAGAGTGCAATGTATCAGAGTACAATATATCATATGACAATGTATCTGAGTACGATACATCAGATTACAATGTATCACATGGTAATGTTTCAGAGTATAATGTATCAGAGTACAATATATCAGATCATAATATATCACATGACAATGTTTCAGAGTGCAATGTATATGAGTGCAATAATGAATCAAAGAATATAATGTATCAATAATGTCAAGTTTTAGGGTCCAAACATGCAATATACAATACATACTGTCTACAACCCTGCTGACAATAAAGGCCTCCACAGATGTGTCATAGTCGAAATTGTCTCTGTACAAAAAGTTATCTTCATTGGGGTAGCTGGATATTTGAAGAAGCTCATCCTTATCAACATCTGGACCAAGACCAACAGACATCAAGGTAGCACCACTCTCTCGCAACAGTTCTGCCTCTGCCCTGAATGATAAATTCGTTATATAAATATGCAAGTACTTTGAAAAATGCCTTGACAGATGAATAATAACATAAAATATGAATATAAATATATAGTCCAATTTTATTTGTTTTCACTGTTATACGAACCTTGGATTGCCGCCGTTATCACCAACATTTCCGGGCCCATTGGAGAACAATACTGCAAAATTGGCGGAACCTCCTCTGTCCCCTGATTGGCTGAAAACTTCCTGTCTTGTTTTCAAAAGGGCCCCTTGGACGTTGCTGCTTCCTCCATAAAACTGCAGGCCGTGTATGGCAGTGACTAGTGAATTTACATCTGAAAACCTGAAACAAATACCATCATCTATTTAAAGGGCTTACAGCTTTACTATTTTTAAAACTACTATTAATTCGTCTTTTAGAGAAAAGAAAATTTGACATTTTTGAGCTAGTCTAGATATATGTAATGCATTTTATATTTTGGTGACTTGATGCACATATTGGTATATCATGTATTAGGGAGACAATGAACATACGTGTTTGAACAAAGGCTAAAACTAGACTTGCAAGGTTACATGATGACAAAATGTTAGTATGGCGATGACATGAAAACCACCACAAGTTTATAACAAGGCATCAACATGACAGAATGTCACCACCTAGTTGCTCACAATATTATGAGTTCAATCTTAAGTCAGATTTGATTTTGAAAAAAATTTGTCAATTTGGAAAAAAATGACCCTGAGAAGGTCGTTAAAGGTGAAATCTCAAATCTAAATTCGGATTTGAACTTCTGAGATCTCATACTGATGATTTTGAAAAAATTGGTCAATTTGAAGCAAGTTAAAAAACCTCTTTGACCTTGAGAAGGTCATTGAAGGTCAAATCTCAAATCTACAGTCACGTTTAAACTTTTCACAACTTGTAGATGATTACAAAATTTGGTCAATTTGAAGCAAGTTAAAAAATACCTTTTTGACCTTTTTGAAAAGGTCATTGAAGGTAAAATCTCAAATCTAAAGTCAGGTTTAAACTTCTGAGAACTTGTACATGATTAAAATAATTTGGTCAATTTGAAGCAAATTGAAAGGTACCATTTTGACATTTTTTGATCTTGAGAAGGTCAAATCTTAAATCTAAAGTCAGGTTTAAACTTCTGAGAACTTGTAGATGATTAAAATAATTTGGTCAATTTGAAGCAAATTGAAAGGTACCATTTTGACATTTTTTGATCTTGAGAAGGTCATTGAAGGTCAAATCTTAAATCTAAAGTCAGATTTGAACTTCTGATAACTTGTAGATGATTTTGAAAAAATTACAGTCCGTCTAAACGGTGTTTGATTTAGTTATTGGAAGTTCTAAGAATTTGTTACATGTCATGTTACCATATTTTGGTTGTGACATAATTATACTATAGCTAGATGATCACATGATGAACAATATGCATGTATTTATCATTAACACAAACCTGTCTAATGAAATATCAGCATTTGCTTCGCCATTGAAACTGACAACGCCAAATCGAATGTCATCTCCGAACCACTCTCTCAAGTCTTGTATGGTGCGCACCACCATCAATTTCATGTAGCCAAAGTTGCTCTCACCCACACGGCTGTCTGCCACTCCACTTGAGCCATCCAAAATGAATACAATATCAGCTGTGCGCCTTGAAACGGCATCTAAAAATCATATCGAACAACTCAACGTTAGATCAATGGAAAACCCTACTATTGCTAGGTTTATTTTCTACAGCAACATTCCTGTCAAAACATTATATATGTGCATAGTTTGAATTGAATAAATGGTTCCAACATCTTTAGTTGTCCACTTATAAGCCAAATATATAGCAGGCGTTATATTGTCTGAGGCTATGTCTGGACGCCAATTGTGTGTTCCACAAAGTAGCCGGCTGACTCTTTGGTCAGCTTAAAAATTGTATCGCCAGCCTCCATTATGAACCTTGACCTTTGGTCGGTCTCAGTCAAAAGTCAAAGATTTACAGTCTCAGTATAATCACCTTTAACAGTCTACAATTGTATATAGTTATATGATACTTACTTTTGTTGAATTCACAAGCTACGCCATATCTGGTGTCAGGACAGGTACACTTATACGTGTTGATGAGATCCACGCACACTCCTTCGCCACAGTCAGCATTAACACAATTATCATTGACTGAAAACAAAGTATGAGTATTCCCTGTCAAATGTATCAAAGTGGATATGTAAATAACAGGATATTCTCAAAAAGTCGGGTGGGGTAAGCAAAAATTGCTATAAATCTTACCTTCCTGAAAATATTCATTTTCTCAATACAAGCAAATGCATCAATGTATTTGTACCTAATAGTTTAGAGTTGGTAAGTTTGTTTAATAAACAAGGGATTGACATGAAAAATGTCACCACTTTTCATTTAATTGTTTCAGACGCCGAACGCCGACAGCCAAGCGCTGGAGTTGGATACTATATACTACCTTTGGTAGTGTGCCCACGAACTGACAGTATCTTTTCATGATTTCTTAAAATTATTATCTTCTTATTATGACATTGTTTTTCCACGGTTGCCACAATGATTGTATCTAAGCATTTTCCTTATTCGTTTTGAAATTATCGTTTCTATCATAAAACTAAGAGGCTAAAAGTACTGGCATTCAAATTGGGCAATAGGTAATAGAATTTGATATTTCATATTTCTCATTCGACAGCCGTGCATAAGTGAGCTGATTGTTATTTCATCATTTGGTTTCCTGTTCGATATTTCTTCTTTTATTCAAACCAGTTCAGCAATAAGCTCGTCGTGCAGTTTTAGAATGGACTTTTAAGAGAAAGCCAATGTTTTTTATCTACACGCCCATAATATGGCAATTATTTAGAATAATAATAATCTGAAATGCCTTTCCAAATCACGACAGTCTCTGACTTACCATTGTTCAGGGCTGTCGTTGCGAAATTGACTTGACCACCGAGATCATTGAATGACGAGATAGACACGTGGTATGATTCAACAGGTTCACTGGCGATCCTGGCTGCCATTGGAACCAAGAGGCGTTGTCTTTCATCCGTAGTTTCAGCCGTAAGAACCATTATCTTTACACCATCCGCTTTCAGCTCAGTGGCAGTTGCGTACTCCTGTCCCTTATTGAGCTTAGACACGTCATCAGCAACAAGCACTAAAGCGTTGGGAGCGCTCATTCTATTACCAGCATTGCTGTCTGCGAATAGGCTCTTTCCAGCTTTAAGTCCAGATGACACATCGGTGGCAAGGCTAGGATCATTCAGATATGAGATGCCGTCAATTGCGTTCCTCAGTGTATTGATGGTCGTGAATTCATTGAACTTAAACATTATTTCGCCATCCTGTCCCCAGCGAATGACAGCTATCCTTTCCTTACCTATATAAAAATGAGAATCATGAAAAGTATTTTGATTTCATTTACTACGGGAAAAATTCGATGTGCCAAGGCCTGAGATTCAGATCTTCATCATGGGTTGATGAAACGAGAACAGTGCGATGGAACATGGACGTAGTCTTAGTTATTCAAAATTGACCTCTTGCATGCATCATTTATTGAAATATGTGGCTGTATAAATGCAGTGTACTCGCAATGATTAAAGGTAGAATTAAAAAATAACATATAACTTTGAAAAATTAGTTTGCATAATAATGTCACTTTTTTCTAGACACCCAAATCTTAATTATTTAGACATATACCCGTTATCCTCGTGAAAAATCCACATTTCAAAGTGACAATTTCATGACTCAGAGTCAACAAACATTGATTGAAATATGTTGCTTTAAATTTTGTTATCCTTTTATACATTTGGTTCTTGTAACAAACTTACCACCAATGTCCAAGTTGTTGGCAACTGATTTGACAAATTCCTTTTGTCTGGTGAAACCGGAACTCCCAACACTAGCAGTTGTATCTAGAAGGAACACAATGTCGGCTCCGGATCCACCTGTATCCTCTAAAATAAATCATTAGCTTACAGATGAGATGGTTGTTCAGGAATAAAAGCTTTACAAATCCAACATTCGTACAGTGAGTACCATACTAGTTTATTCACGCTTTGGGCAGCAGGCAATAGATGGCTACGTTGAAAGTCTATCTGTACAGTTTGATGCGCTTTCCAATGGTTTGATTCTCACATCTTAAAAGAGAGCTTCATCTTATGCACTGTGGACTGTGGTCTGATCTGACACTCAGGGTAAAATAGGTTCCGTATTTTCATTTCCAAATGTGAATTTGACAGTGTGCTTATATTACTTTTTATTTTTTATTTTATATGTATATTTATTTATCAATCAAATGATAATATGAATTCAATGTACTACCTTTATCACAATTTGCTCCAATCCAACCAGGTGCCGTATCACAATCACAAATATAACTCTCGTCTTGCGAGATACAGGTTCCCCCGTTCAAACATGGTGTAGTAATACATGGATCTGTAAAATAAGTAAACTGGCAGAAAGGTGCAATCATATGTCACACAATGTACCCTTTGCATTCGTTCGACTTCACCTCTTAAAAGAGAGTTTCGTTAGTTTATAACTAGACTTTGCGCGCAGGGTTAGTTGGATATGAAATAAAGACGACATTAAAGTGTCTCACATATTCGATCAAAATTTGCCATGCAAACATGTTAGTCTACTTTACTGGCCCCCCTTGCTGTAACAAGGAACCCAAAACACATTAAAACGTAAACATAAACCAATTAGTCACTTCACTATGAAAGTGAGGGGTGTTAGTCCATGCACACAGCGTATTCTGCTAATACATATTTGCTAACACAATATCAGTGGTCATTTACTGTGTCAACTTAGTAACCCTTGCATATCGTGCTCACTCAAGAATTGAATATTTTTTTTATGATCTAAATGTTTGTGGTTTCACAAAAAATGTGATATATTTTAGTTAGAAATACATTAATTAATATATTCATTCAAACAGCACTAGAATGCGGGAAGAAAGAGCAATGGTGACAAAATGCAGACAGAATTTTCTGTAAGGGTTTCAAACATTTCTGGACACAATCATACATGTACTTCATGTGTACTGTTATTTTTAGTGCTGTATTTATAGATATAATTTCACGTATTAAAATCATATTTTCCAGCAATGACTTCAAATTCGGAACCACACCCATATCACATTTTCTTCAATAACTCCAAACATGTGTAAACATTGACCATGTGCATATTAATTCAGATTTCACGAGCTCTTTCCTATTCGAGTACCTCATACACCCCTGCATGGTTTTGAGTTGGATTCGCCTTTTATACGTGAGCCGACACACTCGCAAACGCTGATTGGATAAAGATTGCGAGAATCTTTAATGACAAAGAGCTACTGCACGTATAAATTATTATTAATAATATTTTATTTGTCTATGTTTTCCTTACATTATTTTACATGCACGTATAAATGATCTGCTGTCGTTTGAAAATGAAATTCATTCAACCAATAGTATGACCATCAGCAAGGTATCGGATATCTTACCACCCAAAGTTCAAGACTTACGAACACTTATGAGTCCTCCAAATATAATACATAACCATTGGATATACTGAGGTTACATCAAAAGTGTCTATGTACATTTTTATTTTCTTATTGTCTTTTTCTTAATGTATTACAATTTATACTTTCCATCCTCCGAACGCAGGGTTCCAGACATCATCCACTAAGTTCCTTCCTTCTTCCAGAAGGAGGTACGAGTTCTGGAGGCCTGTGTTCGGAGGATCACAAATTGGCCAAACGGCTCGTCGTTCATCGTTCTCAAAATTTTTTACGGTACGGGGATTTTGTCACACTTAACTCTGCGACAACCTTGCGCTTAGCCTTGCTTCAAGACTGTGTACCCCCCTATACCTTCAGTTATGTGGGAAAGGTGGAGTACACAAGGGGAGTATACAGTCTTGAGACAAGACTACCATGCGCTGTACAAAGAGGAAGTCAAATACCAAAGTTACCTGAACTCTTCACTTGTATGTTATCGAAGGCATAATCTGCTGACCAATATTTATCTGTAGTTGGTAAGGTTGCAGTAATACGAACATATCGTGTGCCACTTGGCAGGCTCACGTCATCTATGGATTTCCAACTGTCTCCGGATGTTAAGTCAAGTGTGACGGGTTGATCTGAAGACAAAGGATATACATTTTTTATACATTGGTCTGTATGTACACTCCCCTCCATAAGTTTGGAAACCATAAGTTCCCTTTATGAAAGCCTGTTTATGTTCGGCGACTTTTAAAAATTCATCAAATTTGTCATACTAAACTATAGTATTAAAGGAACGAAGTAAGGATCATTTTACTTTTACGAAGTTCCATTATTACCAAGGTATTAATTTGATGAAACTAAATGATTGTAAAATATACGTATGTGGAAGCCCATTTGTTCTGAGCTACCCAAGTGTTCTGACTCTTGTGCCCAACTGTTCTGACAACCCAAGTGTTCCGAGTTCACTTATTTTATAATATCTTAAAATTCACAAGAGAGGTTGCCAAAAATCTAATTTTGCTAGAAAAATGATAGGATGAAGTAAGAGAATCCAAAATATTGGCCCAATTGACCAAATTATTAAAAATACGCATCCATTTTCTAAAATTGAGGCCCATTTTTTCAAAAGGCCTTTTTTCCAAAAATGAGGCATATTCCTTAAATTGAGACCCAGCCTAAATATTTTTATATATTCTGTCTAAATATTATATTGCTCAGGAGTGTTCCATGGTGCAAAAGTAGAACAAGGGATTTGACACTCCTCAATGGGTACCCTGTTAGTTTATGTAAATAAATAAAAAGCCTTTTGTGCATGAAACAGCCACATTATAAGTGATTTCATTTATTCAATTTCAACAGTCATCTCCGTAGAAACCTAAAATTGAATAAGAAATTGAAAATCACAATATCGAGTGTATTTGCCTAAATAAGTAAACCCAAAATACTTGGGTCAAGTCAGAATACTTCGGCAAGAGTCGGAATACTTGGGTACCCAGAACACTTGGAGCTTCACATACGTATGTTTATATGATGAGTTCATGCATAATATCAGGTAATTTAATCTAAACATTATCAGTTCTATTTTACTTACCAAATACGAGAGTCTCACGATCAGCATTAAGTGCAGTGACTTCAACTTGTCCATCTTGAACTCCATCTCCGCGGGAATAATACTTAAACGAGAACGTCTTGAACCCAGATGGGAGCTCGGGGGAGAGGATTGATACTGTGTTACCCTGGGAAGCAGGTGGAGAGCTTTCCACATACATGTAAAAACCTTCAACAAATAATGTTTTAATAATTCAGTATAAGCAGAAACTGTTCAGTTAGGGAATCACTGGTTTACTAGAATCTCCACTAAATGATAAAGGGATGTGACTTCTTCAAGGACTTTTATCTTCGGCAAATCTACACTAAATAATAGGTCGATCAGTGAGACTTCTTACTTCAGTACCATTTTTATTTATAAATGATGGATTCTTGCGACTTCTAATCTTCTTTAATCATGAATTGGTACTTTTGATAAATCAATGTAACCTCCTCTTCCCCCGGGGAAGGATCGATCGTCCGACTACTTACTTCCAAAATCTGTTGAGACTGGGCCAGTGTGTCCACTTGGAGTGGCTTGATCAGTTCTAAAGAATTGCAAGTTGTCATCCGTCGATTGTGTCATTCCGCTAAATCCGTCTCCACAGCCACTGGCCTCACTCGGATTATCCCAACCAGTCCTTTCAAAGTCACAACTCCATACCGTAGTTCCTGTTGAAACAAAAAATTATAGTCTTTATAGACTGCACTTAGGACATTCCACATCTACTCACCAACACATGTAGTTGGGAGGGGGGGGGGGGGGGGGTCACAGGCGCTTGTTGCTATACTAAAAATAATAATCTATTTGTTTTTACCAACAGTTCGTAACACTTCTTAAGTTATCTTTTCATTATGAAAATTCCCGATAAAAGTTTCATTTTGAGAAGAATGAGAAATGCCATTTGAAACATGAGTGTCAATTATTACATTTTGTATATAGAAATGTTGAATATACAGGGTCGACTAAAAAAACAATATGTACAAGTTTAACACATGTCAAACCTTGCCATTTTAAGGATAAATAATTTCCTAACAATATGACACCATCCGATTGAAAAACTTTTCCGGCTAAAATTGGCACCAGGGATGTCATGAGCGCCCAAAGAATTATTCGCTGTGGATTTCCAAACTGTGGAAATGGAGCAAAATTGTATTTTGGCACCTTCAGAAGAGGTACATTTATTCAAGTTTAGTGCAAAATTCACCCATTCTAATTAACTATCAATTTTGGATTACTCTTAAGTAAATTCACGCCTGGTAGCCTCTCACCTCAGTGTCATATATGTTAGGAAATGATTTATCTTTAAATGATAAACATGGAATATGGTTCAACATATACCATATAAGATTCATCTTGGTTTTTTGGCCAACACTGTATATACTGGTAGGTCAGCATTTTCAAAAATAGTGTAGACCTTCGCCTTAAATTTGGAATTTCGAAAACAGTAAAAAAGTTGAATTTGCCGCTACTTACCACTTGATTGTCTTTTCGTTCTATGTTTGATAACACTTGAATACGTTAATGCTATTGTAACTGCAATCACGAGCGTCTTCATTAAAGCCATGTTGATCTGAAATAAGTCAGCAAATATTTAGACATTTACACAGTTTTTTTGTCTTGTTATGATAAATTCAACATACATCAGTGTATCAATAAAAGAAAATGCGTACTGTACTCCGGGTAAATTTCAACGCTATAAAATTTCGCAATTTTTCAAAATTGCAATTTCGTGGCTATTTAATTTTGCGGATTTGAGTTGATGACATTTCGCGAACTGCACAAGTTGAATTTTTTCCGATTACCGTGAATCAATGCATATCTGGCTATTTTAGCCCGTTCAGAATCCGATTAATGTTTGTATTTCCCACGTTTAGGGCATTTATTTGAATATTCTTGAATGGCATTTTCAACTTCAATTTGTAGGATATCATTGTTGTCAACAGTTCTTGCCTTTGTTGGCCTAATAAGCCAATTCAAAATGTTAGACATTTTAGGCCTTTTTTGAATTATCACCAAACAACACTAGACGAAACTTTTTACACCGAACGTAACATATCAAAAGTCCCGTTTCAAATCCCCGGGGATTTAAAAGACAAATTTCGCGACGATAAATGTTCGCGATTTTACTATATTCGCGAACAAAGCGAAATTAAATCGCACGCGAACAATACCCGGAGTACAGTATATGATTTTCTGTCAGTAGAGATACTGATACATATTCTACATGTGGCATGTGTATTTCCCAGTCTGACATCCTAAGTGAATTAACACTCGATATGTCACCTCAAGTTCTGTTTCGCAAATGACAATTTGTAACTTGTTGTAAAAGTAAGAATATTAAGATATTTCAACATGTAAGCTGGGAACACCTGACAAATCTTATGAGATATTGAGTGACATTTCAGATCTTTTTGTGTGTTTGTATGGTGCTCCACATGAAAATATCTTTTAACAAATTTCTTTTAACGTTTTTTATAAAATCGGGGTCAACAATACTTAGAGATTGATGACAGAGAAGCCTTAACTACTGTAGTACTCAGTTCATGAAAATTGATTGATTGGTGATCAATAGAAATGACGGACTGGTAATCCGCGTCAGTTTGGAAAAAGCTACAAAAGCTAATCACCACATTGATCACATCAAGTTTAATACAAAAGAACAAATGTCTTCAGTCTCAATGACCAATGAATAGTACTTTTCAAAACAACCCTGTGCCTCCTCAGGGTATCAAAATCAGAAAATCAGGTGCTCCACATCCTAAACTGTGCTTATATACTTTAAAGGAGCCATCTATATTTAACAAATTAAAATACTGAAATGACATGAGATTTGTGGCATATTTCTAGAAGCTGTTGTCACATTAGCCGCTCCGCCACCGTGTGGCTCGTTTTGGGCATTTTTAAGAATTCTTAAAATTAACTTTTGTATTTGTGTGATGGGGATATCTTGCTGTAAAACGATTTGTTTTTGCCACCGTGTATCATGCCGTTCCCCGCCATGTGCCCCAAAGTATTCTCACGGTGGCTACCCCGAGCCCACACGGCCTTTGTGTGATAGCTCCATACGTTATTCTATGAGGCAGGATTGCTCCGCACGGAGAGGAACGCCATCGATAGCCTAATAATGGTAATTGATCTTGGACGCGTGAACGCGTTCCAATTTTTTGATAATTTGAAAGCTTGTTCCATGGTTCCATCAAGCTTACGCTAATCCGAGGCTAATACTTGACTAATGATCGACCTTGTATTCATTCATGCTCTGTGCTGAGCCAACGGTTTTATAATTGTACTTTTAGAAATTATAGCAACCATGCGGTGAAACCGGAACTTAAAGTACAACAGATTTTTCTACAAGTTCAGCTTAATTTCATGTTTACATTGTATGAGTTTTTCACACTTGTTGATTTAAACTAAAGTCATATTTTAAATACATTGAAAGTTATCAATGTCTGACGTGTGCAATGGTTATACAGAACTATACATTGAGTGATACTGTATGTAATAATTTGACTTCCGTTCTGAAGTAAAAATAAAACGTTTTTGAAGTCCAGGAGAGAAAAAAAGATCCTAGGTCAAGTACACTGGCGAATCTGCTCACAAAAGTGTTTTGATGATTTATTTGGCTAAGTGACCATATTTTGTAAGCCACGTACATATATACAGCATGATGAAAAATCGCGAGAGAATTTTTGGCATTAAATACGACAGTTAATATATTACTAGTTTTGGCAATTAATCAAAGGATTTGGAAATTGCAGGTTTTTATACAGAAAAGAAAAATAATCTTATAATTATAGTACATGATAAAAGGTGTGGAACTTATCATAACTCAAAATCATTGAATAAAAAATTGCATTATTTATTGTATACGAAGCTACTATTCAAACCTAATGTGACACGTACTGGGCTTCGTGATATTCCCGTACCGTACTCGTACAAAAAACGTGTGTATCAATTTAGCCACTGTAGTATGTGATAAAATATTCATCCTGATACTCATAGCATCTTTCTGTTTCACCTGAAACATCTCAGGGCTGAGAAGAAATGAGATGTCATGGTTTATCATGATGTAAAATATTCAACATACACTAACATGGGACAGTGTCTCATCTTGCCCGTATGCTTCGTTGTGTCCCAAGTAAGGTATATCGTTAGACCTGGCCGCGTCCTAGCTATTGTACCCTGTCGGTTTGCTCAATTTATTAAATAATTCAATTATATTAACTTATAGGCCTATCTCACATCTTAGATTTGGAAAGTTCGGCATTATTCTGATTCATGTCTTTTGTGCAAGGAAATTCAAGAATACGTATTCGATCGGTGCACAGCTGTTTTATCAAGGTTACTAATATAGGCATATTTCTATTTCAGAGAGGATGACCCAAAAACAAAACCTCCTATAATTATAAAAATATCAATACAGCCAGCCTTATTTTTCAGGTATATAACTGTCAACGCAACATTGCCAGTCCAATGAACTCGACCCTCGAGCGGGTGTCATGGATGAATACAGTGAATTCCAAAATTGAGTCTATCCCCTGGGCTTTACTGATAGAAAACGTAGAAACTCATGAAACTACCCAAGTCGTCCATACAGTTTGCGATTTTGGATGAAGTAGGGAAGAAGAATATGATACTGTTGTATATATGCCAAGGATGTATATTCACCCGAGCCTTCATATAGTGCAATTATGTATGTCTTTTTTGCATGTACTTAAAACACGCGACGAGTATAAAACACGCCATGAATAAACTATGCAAGATCACCATTCATTCGTTTTTATTTCAGAATAAATGGAGCAACAAATCAAAATTGGATTAAATTTTCAATTTAAATATCAGATGGTATTCGCTCATATAAATTCCATGTTAATAGCTTTCAAATGGTGGATATATAAAACATATCCCGCAACTTACGATGTCATAAAACATTACTCACCCGACAATCAACAAAATCAAAAAGTAGTACTACATGTATATCATTACTAAAAAGCTTCAGGGTCGGCAATTCATACCAAATGTGTCATTTAATAAAAGATACGGTTTGAAAAAATTAATATATGCATGGTTTCAATGAGATAAGTCCACTCGTGCTAAGATATACCTGGTGATATATTATGCCGCCTCAAAGCTTCCTCATTGTCAACTGATTATTTTCAGCCCTAAAGAAATTGAACAAACGTGTTCTTTTTTTAGTGATATCAATGTTTGTTCTAATTTTGTATCGTCTCTCCATCAACTCTATGCACATGTTCGATTGATTTGTAAATATACACTCCGCAAACATAATTTGAGATTATGGCTTGATAAGCTACCCAAAAGAATGAAGGCATACTCTAAAATGTTTATCTGTTTACTTTTATAATCCAAAATTACATACCAATAGATGATAGCATTCGAATTGGTTTGTGAGAGATTAGATTATTTGCAGCGAATTACTTTCAGAGATCTTGACCAACTAAAAAGTATTAAAAATTGACTCCCAACTATCAATGACCTTAGGGTGATTTGAATGTCCTAGCATGATTGCAAATTGCATGTGTGCATTTTTTAATATTACGATCAATCTCGGCATTTTCAATATATGTACGAGGGTTGTCAAAGAAGTAATGCACTATATGCTCTAACTTTATCAATACTTTATATTTTTCCATGAAATTTTCTATAAATATTCCTTAGAGATATTTTGATTATTCTACAAAGGTTCATGCCGATTAATGGAACTATGTTGATATTATCATAAAATCAAGTGGATGGGTTTGGGTAGGGTGGGGCAGGTTTTTTGTCACGTCAAAAGGAATAAAAATTGAAAATATGAAATAGTTAATCAACAAATACCATTTTGTGTAGCAATAAGAAGTATGCTAAAAATATGTTTTAAGATACTAAATTACTAGGAGCACATCCTAGATTCAATGGATGTATATTGTACAGTGTCCAATTTCACATTTTCTCAAACTATTAGACTTTGCATGTAATGCACTTTTGATCCCTTCTCACCCAGTCCTGGAAGCCTCTCGGCAATTTCTTCCACCGTGAAAAACTTTGACAAAGTGAGGCGTTTGGCCTCCCACGTTTGGAGTTGTCATCAAGTGTCCAGTCATCATTCAGTCAATATTTTGATCATTTAAATGAAAGAAATACGAATAGCTAGAATAACACTTTAGAGCTTTTCATGATTAGACAAATTGGTACCTGCTCCGCCCATCCCTACCCCCATGTTGCAATAGCAACCATTTTAATACTTCACATTAACACTGGTGATCCACTTGATTACGCTGGTTACCGAAACGGTACGTTTCGGTAACAAAATGTCGGAACGTCGAAGGTACAATTTTCCTTTTTTCCTTATTTCACGCGTTGCAAGCAGAATCCCCGCGACATTTCTTCACACAAACGTGTATCAGTATCAAATGTTTTAGAAAATGTACATGTTTGCGAAAAAATAGCTCAGAAGACTACAGAATCGTCGACTTATATTCCTCACTTAAGAAACGGTATGGTGCAGATCTTAACTGTTTTTCGAAACACCGTTTCAGTAACTTAAGTGAGGAATTAAATATACGATTC